GTACACACACACACACACACACACATATATATATATATATATATATATATATGCCTGTACACAATTGAATATAAGCGTATATGTACATAGTCGCACGCATTGCCCTTATAATTGGTATATAGTCACTAGTCTACTCTCACCTGGCGGAGCGGCGTAGACAACTCCTTTGACAGTCGGAGTACATTCCTCGGCAAAGATCTTGGTCAGCAATGCCGCCACACCGCCACCCAGCGAATGACCCGTCACCTCCAGTGAGTACCTTTTGTGGAATTAATTGAATCAATTTCATGGACTAATACCTATCACTAATGGCCACTAAGGAAGGGGATGTAATCTTGTTCACTAGCCATCGATAGCTCAAGCTACACTTCCGCCCGAGGAATGACCTGGCACCACCAGCGAGTACCTAATTAATACTGATTTTTAGTGGCCATTAGTAATCGAATTTAGTATGTCCATCATAGAGCAATGCAGCCACGCAAGAACTTAATGGGTGACAACTAATTTATGTCCAATTAGGGTCAGTACTAATTTGTAAGTGGGAACGATCGCCATTTTGAAGCAAGCGAACGCCAAGCATATATGGCGTTGCAAATAATTACATACGCACATACTCGGAACAATTTGGCGTGTCCTTTCAGTACTAATTTAGACCTAAGATTGGGTCACAACGAAGCCTTCCTATGTCCCAATCAGTGAACAACAAGCACACTCGTGCATATGTGAATAAACACCTCACGATTATCAGTGCATATACACATACACGCTTGTAGGTATGTGCATATACACATACACCCTTGTAAGTGTGTGTAAGTATGTACAACTGTGAGCATGTCCCCATAATGTGAACATACTCCACACCGAAGCATAGACAGTCCAGTTGATATAGACAACGTACCCGTCTTTCGTGAGTCTCTGGATGACTGCGTTCACCTCCTGGTACATCCATGCTGCCGCGGTCGCCATACCTAAAGCAACCGATTCAACAGATAGTTATAGTGAATATCTATCCATACCTATAGCAACCGATTGAACAGATAGTTTTAATGAATATCTATGTAAGGTTGCAGACATGCCTTGAATAGTCGATAAAATATGTTTTTGTCATACATTTTTATATTGAGAATGTAGCGACCTCAGAGAATCGATGTGAAAACAAGAAAAAGAAGAAGAAAAAAAATATAGGGGTGAAAATGACAGGTTTTGGTGACTACCCTCTTGGGTTTGCAAGTACAGACACATTAGCCTCAAAATACATGTGTTCGAGATAACGCTTATAAATGTAAATGTACATAGGTCTTAGTCTCAATATTGAACGACTTCAATGTGGCTATGCTATGGTACCAACAGTTTGTCAATACGACGTCGGCAACTGATCTAATATAGTAATTGCTTTCAAATCGTTTAGTTGATGTGAAAAATTGAATAAGCGAATACGTAGTGTATTATTAGGAACTTTATACAGGCTGCTCACAACATGATCGCCTACCTTTATGGACCTTTGTGCAGAATGGCATGTAGATCCAGTATAATATGTATATATAAATACATATAC